CTAATACCAATTTGTGACAATAAATTCCAGGATTTTATTGAGTAAATTGTAATATACTGAATTAGCATGAGTTTGTTTCTGCTTTTGTTAAAATTAAAAAAATTAACATTTTTTTAAGCTTGTAGATATAGACAAGATAGATTTTATTTTCTTCCGTTTGGCAAGATTTTTATCTCATATATACTCTTTAACTTCTTTTGTCCTTTATCCTACTCCTAACCCTGGTTAAACATTCAGATTGTCAGTGCTCTCCTTTTGCTCCAGGAGCTCAGTCTTTGGAGGAGAAAATTATACAACCAGTTGAATTTTTCTTTCTTTATCCTTTGAGTATGCAAAATCAGAGAACACTCAGTATCATTTGACAGGCTTACCTTCCCATTCACTGTATAGAGTAACTGTTGTAAACTTTGTACTCTCGTTACCTTTTAAACTTGTTTCCTGCTGCCTTGAAAAGAATAAATAGTCTCTGATTTAAAATGATGTGATTTACAGTGTGTGGAACTGAACTTTGATCCCTTGACATCACCAAAATGGCTATTACCAAAGTGACCAACAATTCCACGATATTTAGCTGTGTCTAGAATTGACCTTCTATTTAAATTTAGGCAGAAAAGGTCTCATACCAAGGAAATGTGAGGAAAAGGTTACCTGTGTACCTGTCTCCCTCTGAGTACATTTGAGACATTGTTCTCTTTTTTTAAGTTTTTATTTCTTTATTTTTTTATGTATTTTGTACAGGGTCTATAGGGTATTACTACGGAGATCGGACTTGTAGTGATCCTCCTGTTTTCAGCTTGGTGCATGCCACCACGCCCAGTCTCAATCACTGTCTCAGTGTGCCCCCGGGGCGGAGCTTGCATGGCACACAGGAGATCGAACTCCAGCTGCTGCACTCTGCCTAAGCCGGTGCTTTAGTCCGTTAAGCTATCTTGCGGCCCTGACATTGTTCTCTTTTTACAAAGTTTAAGAGTTTGGCAACAAGGACTGCTTTATTACTTGATATGCTTTTCTTTTCTATTCTTTTAATTCAGAGTCTGTTCATTTCTGTTTCCCCTTTAGCCCTTTCTGGCACTTCAGTACTAGACTGAAAGTATGAGCTTTCCTCTGTAGTAGAGCCTTCATATGACTGTGAGCCTGCATTGGCACTGCAGTGCTGCGAGGGCCTCTGTCACTGCGTGGAGTGACTCAGGCCAGTGAAACCTACCCCTTCAGAAGTGACTCCTTGACCTTGTATCTGTTTCACATGGATAGTCATTCTCCTCAGACTTTTTAGAAGTAACTGTTGACTTCTAAAGTCTGTGTCAGTGTAT